GTACACTTTTGGGGTTTAGTCATGTCGGCCACATGATCACAGAGACATCTTCGGACAGCTCTGGCTCTTCGGCTTTGAAACGGAGATGAGCACCAACCCCTAGAATCGGGAACGACTAGCACATATGTGCGAGGGGAACATTTACTTTATAGGTTATAGAATGACTGTATAACTACCCGAGATCATGAACTAAAACACCTTCAAGGTCAAAAGGAGCCCAGTCTCATAGGAGCAAATTTATGACCTCCAGTGTCATTGACAATCTTTCCAAAGTCATCTCCAGTTGATCTCCTGAATGGAAGACCTACCTACTTTGTGATCTTTAAGCTCTACGCACCTGCCTCCAGGAAGACTTCTGAGAAGTCCAAGGGCCATAGGCGCAGGTAGCCATCGTCAGAGGCAGTGGCACAGAAACTTGAAGAGAAGCAGATGCTGTTTAGGGATATCCCAGGGCCTAGAAGGGGAAAAAAAAAGAGAGAAATCCAGAATGCTCTGAGACACAACAGCTGCCATTGCTTGAATCCTTTTTGCCCCATCACGAGTTGATCCTTGAAATCGGAAGCCCTTAAGACCCATAAAGATAACATTCTACAACTACCCCAAAACAATATCCCGTCACTTCAATAAGTCTATAAGAAGAGACTTCTGTTCTGACCTAGGCTTCCCAAGATCATGAAGCAGACTCCTCGTCCCAATAAAACCTCTTTTACTTAGGTTCAAGGGAATTCCTCTGCAGCAAAGCCCGGGCAAACAGTCTTTCATGAGATTTCACAACTACAGACCTTGATCAGGCTTGGAGACTTGCCAGGCCGATATCTCCCAAATGCCACGCTGTAGCAGCAGTTACTTGGCAAGAAGTCACGAACAGATCTTCACTCTAATGAATCGAACTAATTGTCTCCTGCAAAGTCCCCTCCCCTTTAGCTCCTCTTTTATTTACTCTGGGAGGGGCCATTCACCGTCCACCTGTGCCTTTACTCCCGAGTTGGCCCTTGTTCCTTAGCTGTT